CGCTCTTCTCCGTCCCGGTCGTCTCGACCAACTCATCTACATTCCCCTCCCTGACGAGCCGTCTCGTCTATCCATCCTCAAGGCTGCGCTCAGGAAGAGTCCGGTTGCGCCTGACGTCGACCTGACGTTCCTCGCGAAGCACACGCACGGTTTCTCGGGTGCTGATCTCACTGAGATCTGTCAGCGCGCGGCGAAGCTCGCGATCCGCGAGAGTATCGAGGCTGACATCCGGAAGGCACGTGAGCGCAAGGAGAAGGAGGACGCTGGCGACGTCAAGATGGAGGAGGACGAGGAGGAGGATGAAGAGGACCCCGTCCCCGTCATCACGAGGTCAGTTACCCGTGCATCTTTCCGCATATGCTATCAATACTGATTCGTGTTGGGTAGGGCACACTTCGAGGAGGCGATGCGCTTCGCCCGTCGCTCGGTGTCGGACGCCGACATCCGGAGATACGAGATGTTCGCGCAGAACCTGCAGCAGTCGCGCTCGTTCGGCAACAGCTTCAAGTTCCCCGAGTCGTCCGGCACGACGGCCCCCGCGGCCGCGCCCGCCGCGGCGAGCAACTCTGGGTTCGGCGAGGACACGCAGGACGACGACTTGTACGCATAAACGGCCGGACCCCTCTCACCCACCCCTTCCTGGACGTGTTCCCGTAATCTCGAGTGGCTTGGCGGACGACGGATGGCGCATGTTGCATGGTCTTGAGTTCGAGCTCCGTAGTTTTGTGTCGCAAAATGACTAGATCGTTTGGCTCACGTTGTAGTATATCGAATCTCATCTCTTTCTAGCTGTCGTCGCGTGCAGACGTGTGGACAATTATACTGGTGTGCGGCCGAAGTGGTCGCTGGCCGAAGCGCCAAGTGACGCCATAGGACGAGGTGGGCCGAGCCGATCAGGCAGAGGCTCAGGCACTCGTCCCTTCTCCGCGTATGCCTCCGTGCCAGACTCGGTCTCACTCCTTCTCCCGCTCGGCCTGCTCAAAGTGAACTCGGGCACACAACATTCCTTCTCCAAGTGCCTCATTTTGTTGTTCCTCTATTGCCGTCAGCGCCCGATCGCGCCCACCTCGCGGAAGTACTTGGCTATCGCCCTCGCGACTCGCTTTCTGCACATTCGGCGACACGCACGCACGCGTTCGGTCTTCCTAACATACCTGCGCCATTATGGAGGTCCGGAAGGTGTTCACGTCCGCCACGCGATCCGTCTCCTCGACCTCCCTCCGCGAACGCCTCAGCAGCCTCAGCACCATCACCGCTACTCCTCTCAAGCCCGTCGCGAACCTCCATGCGCATATAGAGTGCGTCGTCCATCATTGACGCGGTCCTCGTGATATAGAAGAGTTATTTACTGGCGTATGCTTCGGTCGCGCTAGGTTTGTGCCCGCGAAGATACCACGGAAGAGGAGGCTGCAGACGCTTGCGGTCGCGATATGGTCGACGACGATCGTCTGGTCTGTCACTCTGTTTCTGTTCCTCTGGTGAGTCTTCGAGAGTCGTCGTTCTGATACCTGAACATCTCTGACCTCCGACTGGCCAGTTCATTCCCTCCTTTATGGCCCTTGCTGGCCGCATACATGATATGGGCCCTCTACATTGACAAAAGCCCGGAGCACGGCGGGCGGCTTAGCCCCTGGTTCCGCTCCATGGGCTTCTGGCGGTACTTCGCCGACTACTACCCCGCATCGTGAGTGTCACTCCGCTGCCCGCACTGCGATGAGACCTGAATCTGCGTGCCTCCAGTTTCCTGAAGGTGAGCGACACCGGGCCACCACTCCAGATGCATGCCACTGAGCGCCCATCCGGAGGTAGACATGTGAATTACCTCCAGACCGCCCGTACGTCTTCGGCTACCACCCGCATGGTACGTATCACGGCCATGTAGGGACTTCATGAGACTCACAGAAGTATATGCGACAGGTATCATCGGCATGTACGTGACCATCGAGCTATGGTCTATGCACCGTCTGACCTGATCACGGTAGGGGTGCCATCTGCACATTCGCAACAGAGAGTGCGTTGTACACGGCCTACCTGACCTTCTACTAGAACTAAACGACCTCCTTGTAGGCACCGGGTTCTCTGCCGCGTTCCCAGGGATCATCCCACATCTACTGACCCTAGCGTCTAACTTCCGCATCCCGCTATACCGGGACATCATCCTCGCTATGGGGATTTGCTCAGTGTCGAAGCAGTCGTGCTCCAACATTTTGAAGAAGGGGCCCGGCAATTCCATCACTATTGTCGTTGGTGGCGCAGCTGAGAGCTTGAGTGCTCATCCGGGCACCGCGGACCTGACGCTTCGGAAGAGGTGCGCGCGCAAGTCCCAACGCGACGTACTCGCCGACGTCTGAATGTATTTGTATCAGGTTGGGATTTATCAAGATTGCCATCCAACATGGGTGCGTTGGGCAAGTGCCGTCCTGAGATCTCTGCTTATTCTTCCGATAGTGCCGACTTGGTACCAGTATTCTCGTTTGGAGAGAACGATGTGCGTATCTACATGGCTGCGCACACGATGCTGAACGTTGACGCGTACTTCCGAAGATCTTTCAGCAGATGCCGAACGAGAAGGGGACGACCCTGTATACCCTGCAGAAGAAGTTCCAGAACGTGTTCGGCTTCACCCTCCCGCTCTTCCACGGCAGAGGGCTGCTGAATTGTGCGTGTTTGCTCAGCGCTCAGCGCCCTGCGCCCAGATCGTCGTCTCCTTACGATACGACCCCAGATAACCTCGGTCTGATGCCGTATCGAAAACGGATAGTCGCCGTCAGTGAGTACAAGTGCTCAATGGCTCGTGAACCCCTCTGCGCTAGACATGTGCTGAAATGTTTTCGCGCTCGCAGTCGGCCGCCCGATTCACGTCGTGCAATGCGACAAGCCCAGCCTAGAGGAGATCATGCATGTGCAGCAGCAATATATAGACGAGCTAATGTGGTGCGTCCCCTCCACATCCTTGTCGTTATTGCTCTTACATGACCGTTCGCGTAGGATCTGGAATACGTACAAAGACGAGTTCGCGCGGACGAGGACACGGGAGTTGAACATCATCGAGTAAGGGGTTCGGACGGCGGTCGTGAGCGATTTGTTGGAGCGGCTGTCCTTTGTATATATGGATGGTATTATGCTCGCGTTATCGTTGAATGCGGCAAATAGCCAGGACTGCCAGTAGGAGCTCGCGAAGGAGATGCGAGATGCGCCTCATACTGGAGACTAAACTGCAAGGAGGGGATGACTCCGCGGAACTTCGCGTCGATTTCTCCCAGTCAGTCTCTGGATGACGCTCCTCTTGATCGACGAGAAGGAACTCGAGCATGAGAGTGTCCGCTGTTTTCGACGACATATACCCGATGCACGAGACGCAAGTGGTCCTATTTCGACGAGGATGCCTGATCGACATCTCGATGTGCGCTGGTACCTCTTGTTACTAGACGAACACCTGACGGCCGTTGAGACAGAGGACTACCTCCTGGGGTGAGTTGGGTCGTCGCCGTGATTGATGAACGTTTGAACTGTGGTGCCGTTGAGCCTATGGCGAAGACCCAAAGGACGCGATCACGTGCGCTCGCGACCCTACGTCGCCAAAGCGGCGATTCCACATCTCCCGACCACGACGACGTCGCGATTCCTTGAGGGCCGGGCGCCCTCGACATCGTAAATACGCGGTAGGTTTTTTTGGGGTTAACGAGGCCTCACTCTCCCCGACACCATCCTCCGCAACAACGCAGCCATGCCAGCACTGCCAAGTCTTCCTCCTGAGATTTACCTTGCTATCAAGGACGCCATTCCTCAGTCGGACCTCCGTAGCCACGTCTGCTTCTACAAGACAAGTCGGAGCATTGCGAAGCTTTACGACGACGTAGAGAACGCGGACGACTTCTGGGCGGAGGCCTGCTGGCGTTGTGGCCTTGGTCGCTCCGCGCGACTTCCCGTACCCCCCGACCCGCGGCCGTCTTGGAGAGACTTCGCCATCGACATGATCGAAAGGGACGGTTTCTGCGACCACCCACAATGTGGAGAGAGCCGCCTTGAAGAGAACAGTACGCTCGGTACATACCTCTTGTATGCCATAATATCATCCTGACCCGCGTTCTTTTAGGAGCATTGGTAGAAAGTCTCGTGGATCCAGGGCAAGGGCGGGACCCACTCCGCGTAGGGGACAACCCAGAGGACTTCCCGGAACTCCTCTCACATCCTCTGTTTTGCCAAGTGGGCTTCCTGTCTACACCTGGTCATCCAGTAGAGGAGGATGCGCACATCGTGCCGACAGAATCCGAAGAGGTGGAGAGCACTTGCAGAGAGGTCGGGATAGCGGCGCAGGGCATCAGCATCTCTAAGAAGCAGTCCAAGGACAACATGCATGCCCACCCCTTCATCGCCAACAGCTTCGCCACATTCCCTCCCATCTCGCATCTTGTCCTCCGCTGCTTTCACGGGCATCGTCCCGCACGACGGCTCTACATTAACTGCAAGAACCGCGACGCTATCACCCTCCTGACCGTGCTCACTGCATTACACCCTAAGTGCGGTCTTCTGCCCCTTCCCCCCGCGTATACTCTACTGACGTTGTCTCCCTAGCCTGGAAGAGCCGCTGGAACACGACACGGTTCTAGAGTATCTGAGGGAATACATGGACGACGACGCGCATGTGCCCGACAACTGGGAGGCTATTCAACGCATGCAGACGATTCGAGAGCTAGTGACCATCTGGTAGGCCCCTTTCATCCCCTAATTGCAACGGCGAAGTACTGTATTGACCTGCACATTCCTATCTGGCAATACGGCACAGGCCTATCGGTGGTTTCATTCACGAGGGTGCGTGCAGTAGGGGCCCCAACTTTCACGTTGTACCAAACCTCTAGTACGATATGGAGCGCAGTAGATTGTTATATTTGTTATATAGTTGTTCTCGACCGCTTTGTGACTTACAGGTTGCGTGTGAGGGAGTATGTCCGTTGCAGGATCATACTGTATATACGAAAGCGGTAGGGAAGGGAAAAAAATGACCACCGCAGGGGTCGAACCTGCAATCTCCTGATTCGTAGTCAGACGCGATGCCATTTCGCCAGGCGGGCGATGTACATGGACTCCAAAATACTTTAACTCACAGGTTAGAATCTGTGACTTCAATACCTACCGTAAAGGTTGCCAGTGGCGCTACTTGGCGATCCGCTTGCAGCAGTACCCGATAATTGATAAGGATTGAAGCCGCCCTACGCTAGGAATGGAGTGATGTGATTGTTTGGATTAACTCTTTCCGCAACGGCCGCCTGGCGAAATGGCATCGCGTCTGACTACGAATCAGGAGATTGCAGGTTCGACCCCTGCGGTGGTCATTTTTGCTCTTGTTGGTGCCGTACCTCGACTCCATAGTTCGTGCACCAGCTCCACCCATCTGTTAACAGATTTCCAGATGTCTTTTTTGCGCTTAGCAGTCATAAATGACGACGGAGCATCTTCCCCGTCCTACCTCACGAAGCTCGAGCACACGGTCAGGTGACTTACACGCTTAGGGTGTAGGCTAAGGCTAAGGCGACGCGTTCGAGCAAGTCGTGTCTTCCATCGTTTCCACCACGCGCTTGAGTATGACTATATGCGCTTCACTTAGGCATTCATCTATGGTCCCTGTCGCTTTTGACTGCCATGTTGCAATGCCTTCTCCTGCCCAAAGTCCGGGTCGCAGATTGACTCCTTCCGGCCTCGGCACGCATATCTGCTTCTACCGCGCTCACCCTCGCATCGCCACGCTGTATGACTGGAGCAGGATGCGAATATTCTCTGGAGTTAGACGTGCTGGTAAAATGGCATCAGTGCACTGCAACGTCGCCGTAAAGGTTGTTGTAGTGGACGGATTCTGCTCGCATCTGGGATATGGTGAAGCCCTTCTCCCTCAGAATGGTAGTTATTCTCCGCCATGCATGTGTTCGCCGTCATGAAGCTGATTCTGTGACAGATTTATGTGATATGTATGCCTAGATATGCCGAGAACGCTCCAGGTATGCACGGCCAAGGCTGTGGATGTCCCGCGCAACTGGCCGCTCTGCTTGCTTCGACACAGCCAAGGACGCCGCGTCCTCTTTCCCAAGGCTTCCGTGAGAGCTTCGCTCCCGTACGTAGGCCTGGTCTCTCATCATTGACCTTGAGCAGAAGATGCCAGGAGGCATACGGGACTTTCGATTGTCGGTGACATGTATGCCATCTACCGCCAGTATGCGCTTTGGTTTCCCATACTGCGGTGACAACACGAATATAAAATCTCATCAGGTTGGACCACAAACCATCCTAGGTTTCTACGATGGAGGAGGTATCGCGGAGGGCAAGCCTGCAGTATATAGTATGCTTGAGAGTGTTACTGAATTTACTTGACAGTTTTGGAGTGCGTATCTCCGAACCTTGAGTCTGGCATACCAGAAACTCAGTGACACAATATGTAAGTACCGCGACGCGCCTCGACTGTCCCATGCGGTTAACGCGTCAAAGGATGCCGGTCTCGACGGACCCGGTCGGTGCTGGGGCGTGTCTGCGTGCGTCACATCGTTCATTTAAACTGTTGTTGTCCGCATCAATGCACTGATAATGTCGCACAGAAACCAGAGCCTACGCATTGATGTGTGCATTCAAGGCGACCCGGGCTCTCCCGATGAGCCAAGGACGTACATGAAACTCGCCGCTGGCGCCTATGCCTCGTACCACTGCACGACGTGCATGAGGCTGCCCCGTTACGAACGCGCCGACCTTGGCGCAATGCACGAATCTTCGAGATGCTCTGTTGGGTGCGTGCATCCCTTGCACGAGTTTTCAGTGGAAGTGACAATCCCAACTAACCTTTTAACATGCGATAAGAAGCCGGGAGCTCTGATGGCCGGCGACGTCATCCCAGGCGGTCTGGGTCGGCAGTTTGTTCGTCGCATCGTTGCTGTGCTGCGGGTACCTGGAGGACATACGGTGCACCCAGAAGATTTCGCGGCTTGTGCGAAGAAAGAAAGCGAAAAACGCAAGTTGCGCCACTCCAGACCGGACCGCGGCCAGCGGCGATTCGCGGCGAAGCTCGCGCGCTCACGTGCAGCCAAGGATTCTGCAGTCGGTGACGCCGTCCGACCGTCCGAGGCTCCGCTCAGGCTTTGAGCTCGGCCTATCCTGCGCGCCCACGACCAGTCGCCTTCTCCACCGCGCGGACTCGCCGCGGAGGTTTTTCTTCCCTCAAATACCCGACTGGCAAGCCATGCGGTCCCCCAATCTGCTTTGTGCTCTCTGTCCTCTCTGGCAACACCCACAACATCCGCACTGAAACCTTTCTCGCTCCGGACATGGCGCTGCACAAACTTCCCCCTGAAATCTGGCTGCTCATCAAGGAGGCCATCCCAACCGACGACATGCGCACCCACGTCTGCTTTTACCAGACGTCGCCTCAATTTGCCGCTCTCTACGACACCGTCGCCGACCCGGACGCATTCTGGCAAGATGTCTGCGCGCTCTGCGCGATCGGCCGGCTCCCGGACGAACACCCCTCGACGCGCTCGTGGAAGGACATTGCGATAGAGTGTGTTGAGGTCGACGGGTTCTGCGAGGACTCGTCCTCGGGGCCCTGCGGCGAGGCGCTGCTCGAACGAAATCGTAAGTGCATATTCAACCCGAGGTCTTTGTGGCGCCGCCCCTGCTCACACGGCCTTTCCTTCCCGCCTACCAGGCGAGATGATGCGCCAGGCGGCGATACGCACACACAACGCGAACGCGCTTGGCAAGTGCCCCTCGATCGAGACCAACAAGCTGCTGCGCCGAGACTTCTATGGCGGCCCAACGTCGGAGGCGGACAAGGATGGTGAGAAGCTCAGCCTGGTCATGCGCGTATACACATGGGGATACTCACCGGCACATTGTACAGCCCACCCGATGCGCGCGAGAAGCTACGCAACATTCCCAGGCCTTACACATTGTGTCGTGGACGGCGACTGGGGCCGGCTGCTTCGGCGGTCGCGGCTGGAAAGCCAGTATGCGATCACCGTGTACGATGTTCTACACGCCATTCAAGAAGAGTAAGTGGGCTGTGTACACGCACTCTGACTGCGCGCGCGAGAACTGCTCTAACCGTTCGGCACCAGTGTTAGCGAACCGCTTCGTGTGGGCGAGCTGTGGGAATACCTCGAAGATCACGAGAACTGCGCATTGAACGCTCTGTCAAATCGCGGGGTCCGCGGCGCCCTCGATCGACTGAGGACGCTTGGCGACATCCTGCACATATGGTGCGTCCCACTGCGGGCTGCGTTCTAAGACCGTGGCTCACATTTGTTGTAATCTGGCAGTTACGTCAAAGAGGTCGTAGTTACCGACACCACCGAGCTTGAAGGCGGGACGTACAGCATCATGTTCTACCTCAAATAGATGCCCACGCAGACACGCGTGATTATTTCCTCTTCCCCCTTATAGGTTTTACATCTCACGGGATGGTGTGGACCCCACGGCTATACACCTAAGAACGTTTGCACCGCACGCATTCTCTGCGATTCGTCGCGTTTGACGTGCGGCGTTCCCGGCGCTGACGAAAGCAAGAGCGCATTTGAAGCCGCTTGAGCAACGAACGACTGAGTTGAATAAAAGCACATCAGTATATCGTTGGTAACACCGTATATTCAAGAGTGAAGACTGTTGACCGATACGAATCTCACATATATCGGGTTCGTAGGTCTCCTCTCCTACCTCAGCTCGAAGCCCTTGCGTCCACACGCCGACGAATGGAACTGGGTGTCTGGACTGGAGCGGCGGCGTTTGGCAGGTGTGTGGGCCGATCTACGACCGCACAACGCCTCTGGGCCAGATAGTTAGGGGTCCAACGTTCCTATTTTTGCCTCGACGTCGACTTCGTATCGCCCCACTCCATCACACACTCTGTTCTACTGCATGGCCGAGACGTCCAGGATTAGGTCGGTCAACGCTTCCCGCCACTGAGCCATGATACATTGGCGAAGCACGCTACACGAATCTGACTGTGTTCGTATGGCGCAGCGTAGCGTACCTGTCGCGTTCGTGATCTGATCATTGCTCACCCCAATCAGCGCCCGCAGCATGCCACACTGTTCACACCGATCGGTGAGTTCGGCTCCGGGCGACTCTACGGCTTCTTCTATAGGCACTGATTCCATGTGTGCATTGTGAAGGAACGAATACGAGAGCTTCGATGAGAAGAACTATGGACACAAGCCATATGACAAGGGCCCAAAGCTGCACCGCAGCCCTGTCTATCTGTCGTCGGCTGTCGGTTTTCCCTGTGCACGTCCACGTCTCCACCGCACACCCTGACGGCTACACTGTCCTCTATCATGTATACCTGGGTATAGTGCAGCTCGTTCCGGCTCAACGGGCACACACCGCCGCAACGTATATCACGGCAATCCTGACAGCGTGCGCGCCGGCTACTGTTCAAGAACCGGCACGCCCATTCGGTCGTTCATGGCACCCGAGGAGATGCGGACAGATCGACGCATGTGCGTGACATGGACGACATCGATTCCTGGCCACTTCGGGCACAGCGAGGAATATAAGAGCTACATCCCCTATCCCCTTCGTTTCAATCCGGACTGCGTCCTCGATTGCCCTCCTAACGCACACTCCGCATCCGCACTCGCATCCGCGTTCTGCGCTTTGCATCCGGTCCTCCCCCGCAGGCTTCTTGTCTCCTATTGCGCAGTGTCTGTGAACGCTGACTTGCTACACTATGTCCGCTCCATCGTCTCATCGCTTGTTGCTCGGGGCTACGCTGGTCGGCCTCGCTCTGTGTCATCTCGCGTCAGCCGCCCCAGCCACGAACGTGGCTGACCTTGTAGCGCGGCAGTCGATCACCGCGGTGTCAGCCACGGAGATTGCGTCCTTCACGCCCTTTACGCACTATGCGAGCGCGGGGTACTGTGCGGCGTCGGCCACACTCTCCTGGAGCTGCGGCGCAAATTGTGCGGCAAACCCTACCTTCAAGCCAGTGGCGGCAGGCGGGGACGGGGACAGCGTACAGTTCTGTAAGTCCGATAAACTTAGGCATCCAAATGTCCCGGACAAAGTTTGATGAGATGGGCAGGGTTCGTCGGCT